GTTTGGGCGACTTGAAGTCTGATCGGTCTCGCCTTCCGACCAAGGAAGAATCCGACCGTCCGTCTGGTTGGCGTTATGCCAGGAGCAGTTCGGTCCGAGAATTCCCGTAGGTGACATGACATGACACAAAATACCGCACCCCCCTGGGCCGATTTTTCTGAACTCGATTACGCCACGAAGGAGAGGATGCGTGGCTGAAATGTTGTGTTGTCGGAACGCTCTCGAACGAGACACTTCCCATGCCTCTCGACGAGACGGTCCCAACGCCTCCCGCCATTTTCGATTCCACCGCTCTTTTTTGCTGTGGAGAACTCGAGCTTTGACAATCGGTCCAGGGGGTGTGATGTCTTGTGTCACCTCTAGGTAGTTGAAGAATAGAGTTAGATCGCTCGCGGGGGAGGGAATCCAGATGGAATGGCGGGATCCAGGACCACTCTCCCCGACACGAACGCCGTTTTTTGGCTCTGGGTGCGCAGGTGACGATGCTGGACAGGTGGTCGGTGTCGGTGGTGACCACGAGCAAGGGGTTCCGCAAGGGCCAGAAGGACAGGCAGCTCATCATGAACAACTACCTCGGCATCGGCGTGGACGGCCAGGTGGCCCTGGACTTCCACAAGGTAACAATATTCATTTTTTCACGTTAGGCAAGGATACTCGGCGCGGAGGGTTGTGTGCCGGTCCTCTCCAATAGGTCCTGTTAACAATGTTTGGCCCTCTTTGCTGGAGTGTTTGATGGGGGTTCGGGAGCCTCGTTCGCCTCAAATGCGATGACGACGACTTCAGCAACCGTAGTGCCGAGCAGGCGTGACAGCGATGAGCGGCACCCCCGCGGTTGCTCGTGGAGCGTATTTTTCGATCGTGGTTGTAGCCAACCACACGTCTCGATCGAAAGCTGCGACAAACCCCGCCATATAACTACAACTACTTCAACAGCCTTGCGTGTTTCGACTTTCGGTTTTTCTGCATCCTTGATGTCTTTTGCCTGTTGTGTTCCCTCCAGATGCGCGAGGCGAGACCCGTCCTCTTCTTCAACAGGCTCTTCAACAAGGTGAGTGATCAAGTCTCTGCGTACCATCACCAATTTTATACTGTAGTTTAGAGTCCTGGTGTGTAGTAGATGCTGTGTGTGAATTTTGATTACTTGTCCCTCTCTCCCGGTAGTCTTCCCCTCCCGTTTCCTCCACTCCCTACAGCTTGGCCCTTTCCTCTTCTCCTTTTCCTGGTGTCACCCTATCATTTCTTCCCACCACTCTGGACGGGCTCGTTCGTTCGTTCAACCGAGACGCATGACCATGTCGACGCCTCCAAGTACCGACCAAACCCGCCCTCCACCTCATCTCTTTGCTCCTTCTAGGCCCTGTATGTTTGCCTGGCTTGTGTGGTCGTCTTGCGTCGGCGCAATCGTCTACCGAAACTCCCATCCTCGTATGCACATGAGTTGTTGGGCTTCTTCTTTGTTGCGCGTCTCTGTTTTCCCCCGCAGTCCAACGTCCGCACTCACCATGTCCCTTGCGGGTGTCGTCTATTTCCGCCGGCTCATCGTCTCGAGGAGGCGCGGGCAATGGTCTAGCAACGAAGGCATGCAAGACATGAGTACGAACCCCCCTCCCCCGACGTTGCCCAACCCGTTTCAGGCTCTGTATGCTCAGCTCGGCGTGCGCTCGGCCCTTGTGCGTGCTTGCCACGACTTGCCGTCGCGGATAGAGCTGCGGTGTGATGGGCAACTGGTGGACCTCCCCGGTGAGGGCGGTGTTTCTGGTCTTGTCTTGTCTCAGTGGGTGGCGGCCGTGTGTTGGATGCGTGCTAGCTGTTGATCGTGTATCAAACGTGCGGAACGCCACCAGGGTGTCTCCGTTTTATACCACACCGTACCTTTTTGTCTGGGGAGCGTGTTCTGTTCCGTGAAGCGGTGTCCCCCAAAAGTTGGTCGCGTGTCAGCTATCCCCCCTCAACCTGCCTCCCCGGGGCCCCCACTCGTCTTCACCTCGGTCGTCTTTTCCTTTCGCAGCGACCACCGCGAGCATCATCGCGTGTAACATCAACAGCTACGGGGGGGGTTCCAAGCTATGGGCAGTGGAGGTGAGCGGATATAAAAGTATTTGTTTGTTGTTGCTCCGAACGCTTTTCCGCTCTCTGCCCGCTATCATGTGCCATGTATACCGGTCCAACTGACGTGGATCGTCTTTTGTGGTCGCTGAATAGTCTCCACGGAAACCCCTGCGGTGTGCCCTGCGCGGTGTGTGATGGGTGATGATGCGATATCGCCAGCACATACATATAAGAGACAGAGGCCGACAGTGTGGGGGGGATGGGAGAAACGCAACCCCGCTAGTAGTGGCTCGGCTCAGGCTGCAGAGGCCCCGACTGCACGGATAAACAGAGTGCCTCGGCTCCGACTGCAACGTCCTAGACTGCGCAGAGGAGGCTTCATAGAGGGATCACGTGGTAGTATTCGTATATACAGGAGCTCCAGCCACCCGGGGCGGGCGCAGTGTGACCGCTGCTGAGTCTAGTCTCTCTCAGCACCAGCTGTACACAGGACCGTCGTCTAGAGCTAAGAATCACACCGCAGCGCCTGCAGTGCCTGCCGACGCACATGCTGCTGAGGCCCGCACAGCAGATGCTACTGCTGGAACTCCTGAAGCACCTGCTGTGCTTGCCACCACCCGCGATGGCGGGACCCGCACAACCCACAACCCGCCACACGCGTACACAGCACACGCCCCTCTTGCGTCACACCCCTGAAGCAACCTAGCACAAGGGTAGAAATTGTTACACGCCCTTCGGTACCACGACGTCGTCTTGTAGCCTGGGTATCTGTGAAATGACATTGATCACCACGAGAGTAACGGAAGATATCACATCCCGATCAAATATGATGGAAAGCAGCGCCATATCGGTGTCGCGGTTGTATCAACCTAATTGTATTATTTTCCTACGGGTGCATCTTTTGCAACCCATGATAGGCAGATGTCCACCGCGTATTCGCCCCCCCCCCCTCCCTCCCCCCGTGAACCTTTTTTTTATGCCCCCCTCCGTGCACATTTTTTCCAGGAGCGAAATAGGCGTACCTGGGCGGGGAGAACCTCCAACCATCCCCTGAGCTACCCCCAGTCCCAGCAGCAACGAACCACCATGTGGGGGTTCGATACGGGCGGCCTGGTCAACCCGGGGGGAAGCCTGCCTTCCGGCGGCGCAGGGGGGGAGGCGGCAGCCGTTGGAAACCCTGAGGCGGCGTCGCCATGGGGGGGCGGGGGAGGGGAGTTGCCGCGAACGCCGGCGGCGGCGGCGGCGGCGGTGACGGCGGGGGAGAACACTCGTTTACGGCGCTTCCGTACGCGGCTAGGCGGAGGAGGCATTGGGAGGGAGGGGATGGGGTCGGGGCGTCCCCCCCCCCTCGCGGCCGTTTCGGTGGAAGGGGGCTCCGCCGGGGAGGAGGAGTCCTGGGGGGGGGGGGGCGCCGCCGGAGAGTCTTCCGATAGCGACGAGGGGAGGTGGGAGAAACCGAGGGACAGCCGCGGCTCGTCGTCGAAGAGGCGAGAGTCGAAGACCTCGTTTCACGATGGAGTGCTGGAGGTGGTGGCCGTGGAAGGGGTGCTCCATCTCGGACAGATTCAGGTCAGTGAGGGGTGTATTCATACCCGGCCATGCCGTAGTCGCTAGCCCATTGCCCTTGCATCCCTAAAAAGCGGGGAGGTTTTTCGCGGGCCCGGGTTTTCACTTCCCCAAGCGGGAAGCCCCGTGAGTTTTTGGCCAATTCCCGGGGGGGGGGGGGGGGGCTGTTGGGATTTTATTAGCCGTGGTCGTCCATGTGTTGCTGGCGTTGAGGTTGGCTGTGGTCAACGGTGCGTTGCTGATTGGGTTTGGCGTTGGAGTTGGCTGTGCTGGTCGAGGTGTTCCTGATTGAGTTTGGTGTTTTGAGTTGTCTGTGTGTGTGGTCGTGTTCCTGAATGGATTTAGCGTTAGGGGTTCCGCCGGATCTCCAAGCTATATGATCGCGAGATTGCGCAAGTAGAAATCACGCGAATTTTGTGCGGGCTCGTCAGGAGTCACGCCAGCATGCAGCCAGAGCGAGGTGTGTTTTGCTGATGTTCCGGCAATTTGTTTGTTCTACTGCGGTATGCGTATGCACATGGATGATGTTGTTGTGCGGGTGTTTCCATTTCTGCGTGGCACGATCGTAGTTAACCTGCTTCAAAAAAGAAGTTCTACCTGATGAAGCTGAACGGTGCCGAATGTTCTCCCTCAAGTCAATTCCATCGTGAGCCTCACCCCTCGCACGTACATGCTCTCCCGTGTGTGCTGCTGGTGCTTGTGCATCCACCGCCGCCACCACTGCTGTACCGACCGACGCTCAACGGCTTTGCTGATGCCATGCACACGGTGTTGTCGTGCGTTCTGTCCCTCTTACAGCTGGGGTTATCCCGTGCCCTTGCCGTGGCGCAGTGCCGTGAGATGCAAGTAAAGTCTTCGGCCACGTTGCCGATGCAGGTGCGCGACGCCGTTCTTTTCTCTTGGTTAGTTTGTCGCCACAAGGGAAGGCTGAAGGAACGCTTCTCGCGACAAACATCTTGATTTGTGTGCCACCATAAGGGGAGACTTAGTGAACCCTTGTCGCGACAAGCATGGACGAAAATACCACAGGGGTTAGAAAATGAGCGGGGGGCATGCGCCGCAGCAGAGAAGTATTTTCTGTGTCACCTCGGATCGTAGTTATTGAAAGAGAGAGAGAGGCGCAGTCGTATGGAGGGTAGAGCTTCGAGCGACAGGACGAAAAAGTGAAGGTTTTTTGAGCACTCAAATACGTTGCTTGAAAATGGTGTTATTTTTTTGGTTCTTTCTGTTGTGAGGCTGCTTTTGCTTGTTTTTTTGCCTGAATGCCGTGTCGAACAGCGTCAGCTACGACGTACTGTTACTTGTTCGCTGCGTCTTGCCATGGCGGGGTTTCGTAACGTGCGACATGTGTTTCGTTTGTCTTTGCAAGCAGTTCGTCCTGTGCTGCTGTGATTTCATTCTTTTATCGTCTACTGCTGCATTGTGACGGATGTCTTTTCGCGTCATCCCGCTACGTTTTCTTCTAGGTGGACGGCGAGCCGTGGAAACAGCCCCCGTCGGAGATCACAGTCAAGCTCCATAACCAGGTGCGCCATTCAGCAGTATCGTGCGGCAGATATTTAGGATCCATAGCAATGTAATCCTCCGCTCTCCCTTGGGTGAACAGTGATCAAACCTTGCGCGGGACACGCTCGAAAAAAATAAGGTTCGTCGCGTTGCAGGCGATAAAGGACCGAACCTGTACTTGGAGTGTTACCCGGTGTGTGTTTTCGGGCACGCGCGGATCGTAGGTAGAGGTTCATATGTGGGAACTACAGTAGTTCACGGCAGAGTTCGTGAACCCCAAGGCAGCCGTTCGTTAGGCCTTGCGCTTGGCCGTCGTTGAATGGTACCATGGTACCATGCATGGTACGCGTTTTTTGTTTGCCGGTTGCTCCCGCACAAGCAAGGGTGACGGCACCGAGTTGTTGGTACCACCTGTGTAGGGCTTCTCTCCGAAGAGATGTTTCCCACAAAGCCCGTATCGTTGTGGGGCGGGGTACGTGAGTGAGATTGGACCACCACGTTTGTGCCGACGTGTTCGGTGATACACGGAACCCCCCTAGCGAAGATGTACTTTTGCCGTTCTTTCTTTCAGCTGTAGCCTTATCCTTGTTGCTTTCGTGCAGACGTCGCTCTCCCGCCGCTTGGGCGCTCTTGGCCCTCCGGTCGATCTGTTTACTCTTGTACCCCTCACCATGTATTTTTTAAGGGTATGTTCGGTAGGGCACGTACCGGGGCATACCGCCGGTATGGTATTTACTGCCGGAATATACCCTACCGAGCGTCTCGGCACGATGTGCACAGGCTCCCATATACCCTATACACCGGAAACCTCGGTACGATCTGTACAGCCTTCCATACCTCATCGAAGCCTCTGCACGATCGGTACAAACCTCCATACCCTACCGAGAGTGCGACTACCGTATCGAGCGAACCTTGTAATTTTCTGTTCCTTTTCCCCTGCGACGTTTACCCCGTTTTCTTCAGGCGGCGATGCTGAGACCGGCGACGACGACCGAGCGGGCCGTTGCCAGCGTGCTGAATGACGTCAGTTCCGCCATTCACGGGGCCGAGGAAGACTTGGTCATCAACGAGAGGCAAGCGAGGACCCTGCTCAGCAGAATAAGAAGGTCCACGCGCTTGCCCGAGTAGAGGGCGTCATAGTCTAGTTGGATTACCATTCCTTGTGACGATCGATTGGTCAGTACTCCGAGACAGACCTCTTGGACCACTCCAGATGGGTTAGGTTTTTTCGCGATGTATGATGTGACCCCGTCGCCGCTTTTCGGTGCGGGGGTTGGGCGTTGGTTGCGTTATCTGCCTGGCACCGTAAAGCTGTCTGCGCTAACCCGGATGGAGTTGCTGTATCGGGGTGCAGTGGGTATAGGTCAGAAGCCATTTTACTGGGGTGTCCGATGTATGCACTCAACAGCATGTGGCGGTGTGCGCAGCGCTGGCCCACAACTGATGCGCGGGCGTCTTGTGTTGCTCGGCAGGCAAGTGGGAGGGAATACCCAATACTCGTTCATGACGGTCGATACATGCTTGCAACAAATCTGCCCCTGTTCGGCTGTGCGAGACCACGAGCGAGACCAGCTTGCTTCGCAGAAATTGGCTGTTGTTGGGCGCCCGGTAGCGTGATCCCGTACAAGGCTCCTGCACGCGCATTTCATGAGTGGTTAGCGTGCTGTCCATCCAGGTCTTCGGGACAGAGGAAGGATGCCCCGTTTCAGCTCCTTGTAGAGACATGAATGTCACGCTGGTTGGGATTTCGAATCATTTCAAAGGCGGGGGTTAGCTCAGCGGGATCACCTTGCATCCCAACGAGAGCGATAGATTGTGCAGGCGCGGGCTGCATACTGCATGTGTGGTTTATACCTTGCTGCTGTTGTTGACGGTCCTGCATCTTCTGTCACCACGTTTGGTATGTAGGTGCTATTAATAGTTGCCTCATGTTTATCCCTTGATTCTCCACGCGGTCGGTTCCGTCTCCGGTTGCGTCTAAATATAGATATATTCATCACAATTTTAAGTCTTTGCGCGCAGAGGTTCGCGCTTACCGCCTTCTACGGGGGGAGGGGGGTGGCGGGGTAGAAGAACCCTCCCTGCTTGCCATTGATTCCGTGTTGCACTTATACAACCGTCGTGTTGCGGAGCATTGTACAATGTAGGGATCCAGAGCGCTGGGGCAAGACAATAATCCGCATCGTGTTGTACAAAATAACCTTTATAGAACACGTCGACCGAGTTATCAGTTTTTTGGGGGCTTTGGGGCGGACACCGTCGTGGGGCATTGTTGTATTGGATCCGTACGAAGCTTGAACGCAAGAAGCTGGGCGTGTGCTGGCATCGAGAAGCGAACTCAAGACAGAAGAGTGACGCCCTCTCCACTGACTGATGCCGCACAAATGGGGGGTTTTGTGTGTGTCTTTGTCATCCCGTTCGCTCTGGATGTCGATTTTTACCGTTGTCGGCATGTTGTTGGAAGCATAGGCCGGGTGCACACGGGAGGAGGGCAGGCCACGCAGAACATATTCTGTAACCTTGTCCGGGAGAGTGACGCGTGCGTGTGGTAAAGGAAAGTCTCCTTTTCTTCGTATGATTACCTCGCCCCCCATGCTGTTGGCCGGGCTGCGTGTTGTCATTCATACTGACACGGTATCCTTCGAGCCTACTGAGCATCAGGGAGCACGGCAAACGAGAGCGGCATCGGATGCACCTCTGGAAGCATGGGTGGCAACGAACGAGCAATTGTCAACAAGGTGACAGCACAACAAGCCGACTTCGAACAGCTTCAAACCTACGTAGCACAGCTTCTACTGTACCTCTTATTGCAGTTGTTGTGGCGAGGCCGAAGTAGTAGTATTCTCCGGTCTCGCACCCCGCGAGCGCGTGTCCATTCGTATTTTCCCGTACACGTACAAGTACTGTAATACAGTATATACTACTGTAGAAGTAGAGCTGTGCTGCTGGTGCTGATACACCCGGAGCCCTTGTTTCCGGCGACCGTTTCAAGTTCCACGGAAGTTCTTCTTGAACACCTCCTCCCTCCTGCATCATCTCCCAGACCAAAATACCTATCCGCGATATGTGGGTTGGCTCGCCCGATGAACCGGCGGTTGGGCTTCTGGATGGGACGGGCATCATATTATTACCTTTGCCCACACGCTCGCCTTGGACTCCTTCCAAGCCCTTGTCATGAGGCGATAGAGGTCACCCACATGTATATATATGTGGTGGTCAATGGCAGATCTGGCAAATGTGTACCGCTTCCATGGAAGCTAATATGTATCTGTTACATGGAAGCTACTCGTTTCGCACTTCCGTGAAACCGCGAAACGACACTTCCATGGAAGCGATATTCACTTCCATGGAACCAAAGATATGAAATATGGATGTGCCACTTCCATGGAAGTTAACTTCCACGGAACTCCCATCGAAAACCCATGGGAGTGGAATAGCTTCCATGGAAGTCGAACATTAAGCTTCCAGGGAAGCTATTCAACACAGGTTTAGGGAACCTTCCATGGAAGTATTCAGCCTCGGGTTAGCTTCCACGGTCTTATCGGGATTAGGGTAGGGAAGCTGGAATGACCACATGCCTAGACACTTCGGTGGAAGTTGCTTTCATGGAATTTTCGGTGCTTCCACGGAAGTCGGTTTCGACCTCTGTCACCCACTTCCAAGGAAGTTGCTTTCATGGGGGTTCGGGCTTCCATGTAAGCAGCTCGTCATGCTTCCGTGGAAGTCCGAAATGCAACTTCCATGGAAGCAACGAGCGGTTGATATCGGGTGCTTCCATCGAAGAGCAGCGCTACTGAACATTGACCTATACTGGCTATGTGCTAACATTCCCGTAACACTCCCCCTCAATGAAAGTTGTTCTGAAATTTGGGAAACAATTTCTGTATATGTACATGGATATCAAATGAACCAAATATAGATATTCATTCGATTCTCGCGAAATAACTCAACTCGTTTCTCGCGTTTCAACCACCAATTCACCAAGTGATACACGTGCTACAAGAAGTTCATGCGCTTGTAAAAAGAGCCTGCTGTTGTTTCCTGCATAAACCAAAGTGCCACAACTTTCAATCCTACATGGATGGCTCGTACAACCAGTGATGGTGCGATGCCGAATGTCGACTACCGAAAGAATACGAAAGAATACGCTGATTCACACAAACATAACAGATTCAAAAATACTTGGTAGTCTAAATAAACACACAACAACAAACATATACAACACGATCACTTGAACTTGTTGCTGATGAAGTCGTTGATGTTGAACCTGGTGACGATTTCCAGCAGATGTTTGAACCGATGCTTGTTGAGATGTTTTGTCCCGATGTCTGCAGGGTTGCTGTCGGTCGAGATGTAATGGATGGAGATCATCCTTCCCCTTCCGAACCTTTAGCTCTTGGATGCAAAAGAAGCGAAGGGCGATATGTTTTGTCCTCGAGATGAAGGAGCGGTTTCCCAGCGCGCGTCCAGCGTCCCCGAGTTGAGCGGGCCGTACTGACCTTAGCATCCCTGTACGTCAACGATCGATGATGTCGGAAGCACAGTCCCGAGGCTCGGTTCAAGCGAAGGGGTCGTCCACCGATTCATGCACCGGTCGGTTCAACGCCCTGGTCTAGAAGGAAAGGTCCAGCCTCCAGCCGATCCCAGTCATCCCTCCCGCCTCCCCTCTTCGCACACAATCGTCATGAACCCCAACATCACTCCGGACAACATACACACCGCCACCCGTCTTCACCATCGACTCAAGAACAGCCACTGCTACTACTGTGTGGCAAGCCAAGCAGGTGAGGTAGTTGATACAGCAGTGCATACATACGTGTCTCGACACGAATGAATGCCAATATTGATTTTTGATTTAATGTAATCAGTGTATGTAGTACAGGTGCGTCTGTTCGACTGCTGCTCGTCCGCATCATTGATAATTGGTGCTTCCCAACGGCGGTGACTCTCCCCGTTCATGCTGAGGGCTGAAGAAAGAGTTCTCGGCCGAAAGCGCGCTGTCTTCAAGGAGCTGCACGTCACGGTGGTGCTCAAACGTCCGTAGTCAAGAATGCACATGCGCCGGAAACAAAAGCGAGACGTGCTCGCGGTCCAATGTTTGCAAGATTGCGGTTGAAAGAGGGTGATGATCGTTTGCCAGCAGTATAGCACTGAACTGGTAGTTGTCGGCGAGAATGTCGCCGAAGCACACGCAGACGTCGCCAGCACTTCGGTGGAAACTCGTCACTTGGAGCTCATCTATGAATCGGGAGCGCCAGATGTACACTATTTGTTCCGTGGAAGCTTCTACAGTAACATCATACTTTCTCACTCACTGGCGTGATCAAATGGGAGGTATTTGGTGATCGTTTTCTTTCATCGTTCATGGACCCCATATGTTCTGCACGAGTCATTCAACCTTCCATAAGAAATGTCCCGCAAATGTTTGTCATCACCCGGGCCGACCATTCATTACTTCTGTCGCAGGCAGTTCCGGGTGCCAGCGATCAACGACAACCTGCGATTCTCTGACGACCAAGAAGAACGACGGTCATCATCACGGCTCGCACAGACCAAACAGGCGAGGGAATTGGAATTTATTCGGTCGTTGAGCATGAGATCTACATTGTCAAGTACCAAATTGGGGGACGAACAAGCACACATGACCACATCCCATAGCACCGAGGCTCAAACAGCACTGGGCCAGACTCCAGCGGTGGCCCCACGCTGATTCTTGTATGTAGTTCTTCTCTTACAGCGACGTGACAGCACACACACACACCGCTGGTGACACCGAAAGTTCTCGCCTACAAAATGTCTCACATATGATACCACGCCCCCTAGACAAGGCCACACCGGTGCGATAACTTGCCATTTGCGAACACTGTAATATTCCCGATGAGGCGTTCTTCCAAAACAATATGCGCCCCTCCTTCGGACATTCTCCATTTTGTGTGGGGCGGGAAGACGTAAACTCGGGAATAGAAAGCTTGACCAGTTGGATAGATACATCCAACGCACAGTCGAAGAAGTTGTGGCTGCGCGTACCGGTCGGTTCAATAGACCCAGACGACAGGTGAGCGGTTGTGTACATCATATTGTCGGGGGGGGAGGGGGCAATCAAAATGGATAGTAGTGCGAACCCAAGAATGACGGGTGACAGGGTGGGCGAGAGAGCCAGGCGAGCTGCTACAAGCGCCGGACGGAAATGAATGTACTCTGGGGGGGGGGGGGGAGGGCCCCCGGGAGGGATTTCGGGCCCGACCCAACCGAAAAAAGGGGGGAAAAGGGGGGGGCCCCGGACTGGGGGGAGGGGGGGGGGGGGGAAAAACGGTGAGGGTGAAATTAAATTTAAAGGAAACCCACCTGGGAAGGGGGGGCCCCCGGGAGGGCAAGACCGGGGCCAAGGGGGGGGGCGG